TTGCTCCTCTGTTGTGTCTGTCCATCCTGCGTGGCCGTCTGTGCGCCTCCCGGCTCAGGCCCCAGGGCTGGCTCAGCGGCTGGCTCCCTGCCTGGCGCCCCACCTCCATGTCCCACCTGAAGAACGTGGAGGCCCGAATCCTGCAGTGTGAGTGCTGAAAGTGGGGGGGGGGGGGGGGGAACCTCGCTCCTGGGATCCATGGGGGGTGTCCGTGGCCAGGGCGCTGCGTAGGGCTTGGGTTGTATTTCCTATGGGGGGTGACTGGGGTCAAACAGCAGCTGCTGAGTAAGGAGGCCATGGGGTATGTCCCCCTAAGGGGGCTGGGTCGGAGCCCCCCATGGTTACACTCCACCCAGCCCCCCCAACTATATCAGAGAAGGGGGCCCAGGACCCGCTATGGGGGGTCTCAGAGACCCAGGGGGTTAAGTACCCCCTATGGGTGCTCTAGCTGATCCAGGGGCTTAGATAGGAGTCTAGGGAGTATATCCCTCATGGGGGGCACTGGGGGACCCAGGGGCTAAGTGGAGGCATGTGGGGGGCTGGCTCAGGGCCTGGTGGCTGGGCTGGGGACCAGGCAGGGGGACACACCACCTATGGGGGGGCTGGGATGTGGGGGGCTGACTCAGGGCCTGGCGGTTGGCCCGGGGTCCGGCCAGGGGGACACACCGCTTATGTGGGGGCTGGCAGGTGAGGGGCTGAGTCAGGGTCTGGTGGCCAGGCTGGGGTCTGGGCAGGGGGACACCCCCCATGGGCTGCTGGCTCAGGGCCCCCCTGATCTCCCTCCCTGCGCAGGCCTGCAGAGCCGGTTCGTAGGGCGGTACGTGACCCTGCCGGGCCGGGCGCGCGTCTGGACCGTCTCGCTGTGCCCGGAGCAGGGCGAGGGGCGCACCCCCCTGGTGCTGGTGCACGGCTTCGGGGGCGGCGTGGGGCTGTGGGTGCTCAACCTGGACCGGCTCGGGGCCCGGCGGCCCCTTCACGCCTTCGACCTGCTGGGCTTCGGGCGCAGCTCCCGGCCCCCCTTCCCCCATGATGCCCAGGGCGCCGAGGCAGAGTTCGTGCGCTCCATCGAGGACTGGCGCCAGCAGATGGGCATCGGCGCCATGATCCTGCTGGGCCACAGCCTGGGGGGCTTCCTGGCGGCCTCCTACAGCTTGGCGTACCCCGAGAGGTGAGACCCCCCGGCCCCTGCTACCCGCCCCCCTACCCACCCCGATCCTACAGCCTGGCATACCCCGAGAGGTGAGACCCCCCGGCCCCTGCTACCCGCCCCCCTACCCACCCCGATCCTACAGCCTGGCATACCCCGAGAGGTGAGACCCCCCGGCCCCTGCTACCCGCCCCCCTACCCACCCCGATCCTACAGCCTGGCATACCCCGAGAGGTGAGACCCCCCGGC